GCGGCTCCCGGTTCCGGTGCCGGTTCCGGTCCTGGTGTCGGTTCCGGTTCCGGGGCGGTGCCAGCGGCCCCCGGTGCCAGCGCGGCTCCCGGTTCCGGTTCCGGTCCCGGTTCCGGGCGGTGCCAGCGGCTCCCGGTGCCGCTCCGGGTCCCGCCCCCACTCGCCACAAAGCGGCGGCGGCCGCAGCTCCCGCCCCGGCCCGCGCTGATTGGCGGCCCCGCCCGCCGGCGCCGCCCGCCCCTATTGGCCCCGCGGGCCGCCGCTCACGCCGCCGCAGCCGTGCCGCCCGCTCATTGGCCAGCGCCTCCCGCCACTCACGCCGTGCCGCCGGGTGATTGGCCCGCGGTAAACGAGGCGGGGCCGCCGCCGCCGCGCGCCGATTGGCGGCTGCGCGCGCGCCCGCCCTCCTAGACAGCGAATGGGCGGGGAGGAGCAGGGGGGGCGTCGTTGCTATGGCGACGGGGAGGGCCGTTCCATGGTGGGGGAAGGGTGGAATTTGGGGTGAAAAATGGGATTTTAGGGGCCGCCTCCTCCCCGCTCCGGCCTCAGCCGCCGCCCCGGTAATGGCGGTGCGGCGGCCCGACGCCTTCGCGCTATGCGGTAGCCTCAGGCCCCTCGACGCCTGATTGGTTGCCGCGCCCAACCTGCCGCCGCTTCTGATTGGCCCTGGCTCGGCTCGCCTGCGCTGATTCGTTGGGTGGGGTTACCGCCCGCCTTCTCGGTCTCCAGGCTACCGAGCGTTGCTCCCGCCCCTTTTCCCTGTGCGGGCTTCTGATTGGGTATGTTTTGCTGTCAATCTTTTTTTCCTGCATTCCTATTGCCGGGCAGCTGTCCCCGCCCTTTCCCAACGCGCTTCCTGATTGGTCGCTGCCGCGTCCGGCAGCGGCCCCCGGAAATCCCAGCGCGGAGGGGGGCGGAGCGACCATCTCCCCGGCAACCAGGTGAGCCGGGCGAGGCCCCGCCCTCTCCACGGGCCCCGCCCCCTCCGTGACGTAGGAGGGCGGGGTCGCGGAAGGGCAGGGGGAGGGGCGGGGTGAAGGGTCAGGCGCGATCCAAGATGGCGGCGGCGAGGTGAGAGCGGGGCGGGCGCGGGAGGGGGCCCCGGTGTCCGAGCGCCCCCCC